TACACTTGACACGAGGCGAGACACTTTTCTTGATAACCTATAAACTATTACTTCTTTCGCTGACCAATCAGACGGTTCAAAAGTTGTCGGTAGAACGTTTTCGTCCTACCCGGGGTACCTCGATAAAAGTTGTCGGTCATAAACGACATTGTCGGTCATGACCGACGCATGACCGACGGTCGTCGAAACGCGTTCGTCGTTAGGACGCGTACAGAATAGCTTTTATCGATACGTGTCGCTCGACGCTATTAACGACACCGACGACCATCGGTAAACGTGTACAGAATTAAGCCCCTGGATCGATGCCGTAGGACAAGGTAAGTAGCAGGTAAGTAATCCTAAATTAACTTGACACTGCGTATATTAACAAACGATTGATTTATTTCAAATCGTCGTTGTGGTTTACAAATTCACGTTGACACAATTCGTCGAACGTTGTTACAAATGGCTATTGATTGCCTCTCGCATTTATAATACGAGCGATGTTTAACGCGCAAGTACGCGGGCGTGCTTCCTTGTGATATACCACGGTGCTAAACTACGCACTAAGTCCGAATATGAGCGAATCTTAAAAGCGTGTTATCCCGATCGCGGTATCCGAGCGACTGCCTCGAGTTGCCGAGCGCTCTCGGCTATTCCACCTCGGGATATCTATCCCTACCATCGGGTTGTTATTCACATCCTGGTACTTTTCCGTGCCAGGTGTTACCCGTTTTCACTTTTCTTTGGATAGTTTTTGCTTTTTTTCGTCGCCAGTTACGGCTGCGGTTCTCAATCTGCGCTTTATAACTAATTGCGCCTGCGGTTCTCAATCTACATCTTATAACTACTCGCACGCATCGGCATGAGTCCCGCTGGACCCCGCTCCCCCGGTTCCCGGGTTCGGGTATTTCACGATTGAGTGATCTCGCTGACCCTCCGGATCGATTTCGGCGCCTCCTCTAATGGCTTTCCACCCGCCAAATTTTCCCGGGCTCCCTCGGTTTCCGATATCCGAGGGTCATCGTATGTTCCCGCTGGACTCGCTTCCGTTATCAATGTCGCGTCGCGAGTGGATCGGTTGTTCTTCGGGTCGCCCTTGAAGCGTGTTTGGCGAGTCGGCCGCCCGCTGTGACCTCCGTGCCCTTCGGCGCGGGGGTCATTGTTATGACCCCGCAATTTTCGCGCCCGTCGATGGAATCGCGTCGCGGTTCGGTGGGTCTTGGTTTGTGCGTCCCCTGAAACAATCTCCACGGCTCAGCCTACGGCTAATACCTCCGTGCCCCCCGGTACGGGGGTCATTCTCGTGACCCCGCGATCTCCGCGCCCGCTGGCGTTGTCGCTTCGCGGTCCGGTGGATCGTCATTCGGGACCCCCATGGGACGATTCCCGTGATTCGGCTATTGGCTGCGACCGCCGTGCCACTCTGCGCGGGGGTCATTCGCGTGACCCCGCTATTTCCGCGTTGATCGCTCTCGGCGCTTCGCGTATCAGGTGGTCGGCCTCCGAGTCATCCCCGAGACGTATTCCGGGGTTCGGCCCCCGGTTATCACCGTTATACCCCCGTTCGCGGGGGTCGCTCTCGTGACCCCGCTATCTCGCGTGCCCGTTGCGCTATCTCGACCGCGCTCGTCCCGATCTGCTCTGCTTGGCTCTCCTTCCAAGGCCCGCTCGTTGGCTCGCTCGGTCGATCATCTGCCGCTCGCCCGCCGGGGTCAATCGTACCCCGGTCACCTATATTTCGGGATTCAGGTAAACGCTAGCCATATGGGCTCTTCGGACTCGCTTATCCGGTAATACTGTTCGCAAATTGTCGATGCCCGCTGCTCTCCAGGTCGCTAATGCCCCTCGAGGTTGTTCGGCTACTCAGCTATGCGGACGGTTGCAAGGTTAGGTTGTGACCGGACGTCACTCTCCGGGTACGTGGATCACACGAAAATGTGAAATTTCAGCCAGATTTGCCTATCAAACGGTCGCCACTCGGTTTGACCCATATGTACCGAGAAGGTGAGTAACGAAATCATGACACGATATTGCAACGATATCACATTAATTCTCTCTTATTTTCAGGATCTCGACGCAGGATGTCTCGACGCCCCGACGCTGCCTCCCCACTGCTGGATCATCGATGGACAACGTGGGACCACCCTCGGAGTATCAGGTAAGTAGATAACGGATACGTTTAATTAATCGGTCAATTTCTTTTTCAGGTATTTCACTCGAGTGTATTTCAACTATCGCGGACTATCCCAGATCCTCGCAGTATCGCATACTGGAACGTCGCGCTAGCAGATCTTCTCGCCCCGGATGGATCTCAACGGCCGCTGGCTGTCCCAGATCCTCGCCTTATTGCATACTGGAACGCCGCTGAACTTCGCTGGATCGATGCCGTAGGACAAGGTAAGTGGCAGGTAAGTAATGCGAAATTAACTTGACACTGCGTATATTAACAAACGATTGATTTATTTCAGATCGTCGTTGTGATTCACAATTTCACGTTGACACATTTCGTCGAACGTTGTTACGATGCTATATTTAACGCGCTAGTACGCGGGCGTGCTTCCTTGTGATATACCACGGTGCTAAACTACGCACTAAGTCCGAATATGAGCGAATCTTAAAAGCGTGTTATCCCGATCGCGGTATCCGAGCGACTGCCACGAGTTGCCGAGCGCTCTCGGCTATCCCACCTCGGGATATCTATCCCTACCATCGGGTTGTTATTCACATCCCGGTACTTTTCCGTGCCAGGTGTTACCCGCTTTCACTTTTCTTTGGATAGTTTTTGCCTGTTTTCGTCGCCGGTTACGGCTGCGGTTCTCAGTCTGCGCTTTATAACTAATTGCGCCTGCGGTTCTCAATCTACGTCTTATAATTAATCGCACGCGTCGGCATGGGTCCCGCTGGACCCCGCTCCCCCGGTTCCGGGGTTCGGGTATTTCACGATTGAGTGGTCTCGCGGACCCTCCGGATCGATTTCGGCGCCTCCTCTAATGACATTCCACCCGCCGATTTTCCCCGGGCTCCCTCGGTTTCCGATATCCGGGGGTCATCGTTTGTCCCCGCTAGCTTCGCTTCCGTTATCAATATCGCGTCGCGAGTCGATCGGTTGTCCTTCGGGTCGCCCTTGAGGCGTGTTTGTCAAGTCGGCCGCCCGCTGTGACCTCCGTGCCCTTCGGCGCGGGGGTCATTGTTATGACCCCGCGATTTTTGCGCCTGTCGATGGAATCGCGTCGCGGTTCGGTGGATCGTTGTTCGTGCGTCCCTCGGGACGACTTCCGCGGCTCAGCCTTCGGCTAAGACCTCCGTGCCCCCCAGTACGGGGGTCATTCTCGTGACCCCGCGATTTCCGCGCCCGTCGGTAATATCGCGTCGCGGTTCGGTGGGTCGTTGTTTGTACGTCCCCTGAGACGACCTCCACGACTCAGCCTTCGGCTAAGACCTCCGTGCCCCCCGGTACGGGGGTCATTCTTGTGACCCCGCGATCTCCGCGCCCGTCGGTGATATCGCGTCGCGGTTCGGCGGGTCGTTGTTTGTACGTCCCCTGAGGCGACCTCCACGGCTCAGCCTTCGGCTAAGACCTCCGTGCCCCCCGGTACGGTGGTCATTTTTGTGACCCCGCGATCTCCGCGCCCGCTAACGTTGTCGCTTCGCGGTCCGGTGGGTCGTCATTCGGGACCCCCATGAGACGATTTCCGTGGTTTGGCTTTCGGCTGTGACCTCCGTGCCCCTCGGCGCGGGGGTCACCCCCGTGACGCCGCGATCTTTGCGCCCGCTGACGCTATCGCGTCGGAGTTGATTCGACTGCCCTCCGGATCGCCTCTGAAACGATTTACGCGGCTCGGCCCCCGGCTATGACCAACGAGCCCCTCTGCGCGGGGGTCATTCGCGTGACCCCGCTATTTCCGCGTTGGTCGTTATCGGCGCTTCGCGTATCGGGTGGTTGGCCTCCGGGCCACCCCTGAGATGTATTCCGGGGTTCGGCTCCCGGCTATTACCGATATACCCTCGCTCGCGGGGGTCAATCTCGTGACCCCGCTATCTCGCGTGTCTTTCGTGCTATTTCGACCGCGTTCGTCCCGATCTGCTCTGCTTGGCTCTCCTTCCAAGGCCCGCTCGTTGGCTCGCTCGGTCGATCATCTGCTGCTCGCCTGCCGGGGTCAATCGTACCCCGGTCACCTATATTTCGGGATTCAGGTAAACGCTAGCCATATGGGCTCTTCGGACTCGCTTATCCGGTAATACTGTTCGCAAATTGTCGGTGTCCGCTGCTCCCCTGGTCGCTGCTGCCCCTCGGGGTTGTCCGGCTGCTCAGCTATGCGAACGGTTGCAAGGTTAGTCTGAGCCACTGAGGAGGAGGAGAGAAGGCATATCAGGGAAATCACCGACCCGTCGGTTGCCCCTTCTCTCTCCAAGAGTAGGAAGATCAAGGAAAAAAAAGCGCTGGAGCAACTGAAGTTTGCCCCAACGGAGGATCTTCCTACTGTGGTTCTTGAGCAGGTACGCATGCTGGACAAATATATCAAACGGGCGAAAATCCAGGGTGTGTACCAGGGCCACTTAAATACGGTGGCTGCAACCGTCACGGCAGCCATTACCAGGTTAGCCGGACGAATGGGCGGGGAACAAGGGCCGGAGCGCAACGACGAAATAGAGGAGCTCCGTGGTAGATTGACGGTTCTCGAGGAAGAGAACCGTCGGTTAAAGGAAAAGATGGAAGCGAGTCATCGCTCTACCGAGTACGAAGCTATGGAGATTGAAGTGCCTCCAGCAGCGAATGGCGACTCCCCTAGCCGGGAAATTACAAGAAAAAGGAGAGGGAGCAGAATCCGTAGAATAATGGACGATGATTCTTCGGA